TTTATTGTAGAGATGAGGTCTCGCTGCCCAGGCGGGTCTCGAACCCGCGGGCTCAGGCAATCCACTCACTTCAGCCTCCCAAAGTGCTGGGATTACAGGCTGAGCCACCGAGCCTGGCTAATATTTGAGTTTTTAAACATGGAATATCTGCCCTCTGCTCTTCATCTGTAACTTCTACTCATCTCTCAAATCCCAACTCAAGTGCCACCTCTCTTGGGAGGCCTTCCCAAGGCCCTCACAGCCTAAGTTAGGCCTCCCTGTTATAGGCTACAGAGCACACAGGCCCCGTCATGGCCCTCATTATGCTTGTCCCCGTCTGTTTCCCCCTCAGACTGTGAGCTCCACACAGGCAGGGGTCGTGTCTGTGGTATGTGCCTCCTATCCCGGCACCTGGTCCAGTGCCCGGCAGCCAGGAGGCCCTGGGTATGTGGGTGTTTCCTTCTCCTCCCTCCCCTAGGATGCCTCCTCCTGGTTCTGCCAGTGCTGGACTGAGTGATGGTGGAAAAGTCTCACTTACTCTTTGGGCCTCAGTAGCCTTCTCTGCAGAAAGAGGGAGTAGCTTGGGGGCCCCCTCTAGTTCTAATGCTCCCTGGGCTTCTCCATGGAGCTCCTGCGAATTCCTCTTCCCCAGCCCCGCCGTCTTAGCAACTCCTGCTACTCCCAGATGTGCCCACCTTGTACAGCACTAGGAAAATCAGCAGCAGCAGCAATAGGCCCCCAATACCACTCAGCACGTAGAGATACAGCATATCCTTTTCATACACGACGTCAACCTTCATGACGACCTAGGGCAGGAGAAAAGAGGGACAGGCAGGAAAGACGACCTTCCCACCCCTAAAAGTCTCCCATGAACCCAATCCCATCCCCATCTCATCATGTCTGCCTGGACTGCCTCACAGCACCAGGCTCTGACTCCAGACCTTCTCCCTCTAACATGTCACCCATTGCAGTCACCACAGTGACTTGGCCAGCATGCACCTTGGCCTGCCCCAGGCGCCTGTTGTCTAGGCTGGTGATCTCCTGGCCTCAAGTGATCCTCCTGCCTCAGCCTCCCAAAGTCAGCATGAGCCACCACACCCGGCCTTCCCTAGGCCTTAACTGGCTTTCCGTGAGCCTAGGCTTAAGCACCAGAATCTCAGCTCAGCACTCAAAGCCTTCTGGAATCTGGCTTCTGCTAGCCTGTTAGATTAATCTTTCCTCCATACGCTCTGCCTGCCAGTCAGACAGCTTCCTGCTCTTCAGACCTGCCCTGCTCACACTCGAAAACTGGGCCTCTACTTTGAGTGCCCTCTCTTCATTGTCTGTTTGTTGAATTGGTAGCCCCTTTGCTAAGCTGTCATCAGCTCCATCTTTACCCGACACAAAAGTCTACCACATCTCAGACAGGTGACCTTGGGGTCTTTCCCACAGCGGGGTGGGAGCGTCTCCTGACTGCTGGCTCCGGCTGTGGGGCAGTTTTCACTGGCTCAGACCCCAGGCCTTCCCCCAAGAGGTGCTCCCACATTTAGCTCTGCCCCGGGGTTCCTCCGTGCCCTCTGCCACCTGCTCCTGGGGCTTCTGAGGAGGAGGTACCTGGGCCTGGGAGGCATTGGGGCCGTAGAGGTGAAAGTGCTTGCTGCTGTTGAAGGAGATGGAGAGGGAGCTGCAGAGGCTGAACATGGAAGAGGCCTGTGGGAGGGAGGGGAGGATCTCAGGACCGGAAGAACAAGGACCAAGGATCCAGAGTCTTCTACTCTCACCTCAACTCAGTGGGAAGGAGCAGAGGGGCATGGGTCCCAGTGAGGTACACCCACTTCCACTCAACTGTGGCATTCTTTTCTTTTTGAGTTGGGGGTCTCACTCTGTCACCCATGCTGGAGTGCACAGCCTCAACCTGTTGGGCTCAGGCGATCCTTCAGCCTCAGTATCCCGAGTAGCTGGGACTACAGGCATGTGCTACTATGCCCAGCCACTTTTTTTTTTTTTTTGAGTTGGAGTCTCACTCTATTGCCCAGACTGGAGTGCGGTGGCACACAGCTCACAGTCACCACAGCCTCAACCTGCTGGGCTCAGGTGATCCTTCAGCCTTAGCCTTCAGATAACTGGAACTACAGGTGCATGCCACCAAGCTTGGCTAATTTTTTGATTTTTTGTAGAGACGAGGTCTCGCCAAGTTGCCCAGGCTGGTCTCAATCTGTGGGCTCAGGCAATTCTCTCGCCTTGGTCTCCCAAAGTGCTGGGATTATAGGCTTGAGTCACTGCGCCCGGCCCACTTTTGAATTTTTTTGTTTTTGTTTTTGTTTTTGTTTGTTTGTTTTTGAGTTGGAGTCTCACTCTGTCTCCCAGACTGGAGTGCAGTGGCTGCTCCCGGCCACTGCAGCCTCGACCTGCTGGGCTCCGGCAAACCTTCCACTTCAGCCTTCCGAGTAGCCAGAATTACAGGCATGCGCTGCCACGCCCGGCTGATTTTTTTGATTTATTGTAGAGATGAGGTCTCGCCAAGTTGCCCAGGTGGGTCTCGAACCCACAGACTCAGGTAATTCACTCACCTCAGCCTCCCAAGGCGTGGGATTACAGGCTGAGCCACTGAGCCCGGCTTTGAATTTTTTTGTAGAGACGGCTCTGTTGCCTTGAACTCCTGGGCTCAAGCAGTTCTCTGGCCTCAGTCTCTCAAAATGCTGGGATTACAGACATGAGCCACCACACCTGGCCTCTACAGTAGCATTCTAATATGTCACTCCTCCTGTTGGAAGGAAAATTTTCCTATGAAGAAAATATAAGAACAGGCCAGGCTTGGTGGCTCAGCCTGTAATCCCAGCACTTTGGAAGGCCGAGGCGAGTGGAATGCCTGAGCCCGTGGGTTTGAGACCAGCCCAGGCAACTTGGTGAGACCTCGTCTCTACAATTAAAAAAAAAAATAGCGGGACATGGTAGCACATGTCTGTAGTTCAGGCTACTTGGAAGGCTGAGGCGGAAGGATCACCTGAGCCCAGTAGGTCGACGCTGGGGGCGGCGTGAGCATGCGTGCCACTGCACTCCAGCCTGGGAGACAGAGTGAGACTCCAACTCAGAAAAAAAAAAAAAAAAGAACTATCTGTAGTATTGTAACTGTGAAACATGGGAGATTTTTTGAATCAAGATTGAAAAGGAAAATGGAGGATGACTCTCTGGTGAGGAGCCCACCTAGCCCTCCACCCCCAGCACCTAGGCACCCATAACCACTAGACATGCTAGGAATAGGTACTACCTCGATCTCTCCCACCAGCTTCACAGTCCCGATCACTTGGACGAGGATCTCTTTCTTGAAGACAATTGGGCAGCGGAACTCAGCTCTGGGGAGACAGGGCTGATGGGGATAAGGAATATAGGGGTCAGGAGGTCCGTTTTCCTACCTGCACACTGCCCTGCCCTGCTGAATCTCAGCTCACATGCCCGTACCTCAGCCGCACCAGGCAGTTTCTTCTCATGATGGCAGGGAACATGAGGATCCTAGAAACGAGTGGGTAGGATCTTCAGTTAGAGACTCCCCAGTCCAGATAAGACCCTGGCATCCCAGTTCTCTACACACCACTGGCCCTCGGTGAATTCAGACGTCACTGAATCTCACAGGATCCAGACAGGTCCATCTTCATTCCTTTCCAATACACCCAGTCCAGCCTTCTGTACCCCAGAATGTGTTCCTCTCACAGACCCGGACACCCTCTCCCTTCCCCAGTATTACTCACCATCTGCACACTCCACTGATGTGTGATGGGCCCCTCGCTGGGAGTCTGTGGCACCCCAACCAAGGCCTCCAGGGCGGGCATGTTGTGGTCATGGATGGAAGGCTGAAACCTCACCTGGCACAGAGGACAAGGGACTGCAGGGCCCTGAATGTCAGCCACCCCATCTGCCACCCCAGACCCTGTGTGCCCGTGCACGCCTCCTCCAGTCTCACTGTGGCATCCCAAGGGCCCACTATTTGTTAGTCAGTGTTTAATGATTGACCACACCAAGTCCTCATCCTCAAGGCCTTGCATTGTGGGTTCCAAGCACTCCCCTCTGCCTGGAATGCTCTTCCCTGCCTTCTCCACACAGCAAATCCTCGTACCTCTTGCAAGGTCCTGCCCCAAAATCCTCTCTGAAGGTCTGATTGACTCCTTAGGGATAGGACAGCGCCCCTCCCTGCCCCGTTCCCACACCCCTGGCCGAATAGCAAAGTTTCTGCTTGTGTGTCTGTATCTCCACTAGAGACCATGAACTCCATGAGAGCAGGAGTTATGTCTCATTTCACCTCAAATTCCCTATTGCTTGACCCGGTACACAGCACATGATAAGCCTCAAAAAAGTAGTTGTTTTTTTTTTTGTTTTGTTTTGTTTGAGTTGGAGTCTCACTCGGTCGCCCATACTGGAGTGCAGTGGCCGCTCCCAGCCACCGTAGCCTCGTCTGCTGGGCTCCGGTAATCCTTCAGCCTCAGCCTTCCAAGTAGCCAGAATTACAGGCATGCGCTACCATGCCTGGCTGATTTTTTTATTTATTGTAGAGATGAGTTCTCGCTGCCCAGGCGGGTCTCGAACCCGCAGGCTCAGGCAATCCACTCACCTCAGCCTCCCAAAGGCATGGGATTATAGACTGAGCCACCGAGCCCAGCTAAAAGTAGTTTTTTTTAGTAAGTGAATAACATTTAACAAGGATAGATACAAAAATTATTCACACAATGCAGGTTGGGAAAGTCTCATTTAGGCAGCTGCATTGCGTTAAGAAAATGTCCTGAGTACCTTTCATACAAAAAAGAGCAATATTGGTTGGGTACAGCGGCTCACACCTGTAATCCCAGTACTTTGGGAGACTGGGGTGGGCGGATCACTTGAGTCGAGGAATTTAAGACCAGCCTAGACAACATAGCAGGACCTCATCTTTACAAAATAATTTTAAAAATTAGCTGGGAGTGGTGGCACGTGCCTATAGTCCCACCTACTCAGGAGGCTGAGGTAAAGGATCACCTGAGCCCAGGGGTCAATGTTGTGGTGAGCCATAATTATGCCACTGTACTCCAGCCTGGGTAACAGAATGAGACCCCAACTCAAAAAAAAAAGAGGCCAGGCTCGGTGGCTCAGCCTGTAATCCCAGCACTTTGGGAGGCGAGGCGAGTGGATTGCCTGAGCCCACGTGTTCGAGACCCGCCTGGGCA